TTTTTATTTTTTTTTTTTTTTTTTTTTTTTTTTTTTTTTTTTTTTTTTTTTTTTAATTTTTGTAGGCGTATGATATACACGTTCGCATATTCTCGTTTTTTGTCATTGGTGACAATCTATAAACGAAAACATGATCTCTGTAATTTTTAAATTAAAATAATTTGAAGTATAAATAAAGCAAAATTATAGCTAATACTGATGATTCGAACTTGAGCCACCTATCCATATTGCGTCTTATTATGTAAAGAAAAAAAAATCAATAATTTCTAAATGTATACCTTGACAGTATTCATTTTCTATTTATGTCATTTATGCATTTAGTTATATTTCCTTTAAAATAAATGTTGCTTTTATCAATCCTTACATCCTATCATCTATCACAATGTTTAAACATTACTTATTAAGCACCATGTAAGATATTGATCAGTAGAGACTTTAACAAATAATAATATTTGTTTATTTATTGAGAAACTTGGTGGCTGCAAGATAATTTTCTTAATTAATCTTTATGTATTATATAATTATCTCTTAATTAATAAGAAATCTGAATTAAAATAGCCTTTATAATATTAAAATTTCAATATTCTTAAAAATTCAATCAAATATCTAAAATGTTTAAAATGTTTTAAAAATTGCTTCATTTATTTTGCATTATATCCTTTTCATTTTGCAAAAATGTTAATTATTATTGAGAAAAAAAAGATAAAAAAGAAAGTCTTAGAATATTAAGAATAAGAATAAGAAATTTACTTTCTAAAATCTAGAAAAGAAATGTGATGTCAGAATATATATATATATATATTATTTTTTTTTAATAGTTTAATTAATATATTAAATTATTTTTTTTTTTAATAGTGCCGAGCGACTGAACGTACCGTAGATAATAAGAAGAAAAGAAACATGAAAAACACCATTGCGTTAGCTCAATGTACTCGTGTTCGAGACTGGAAAATGAGAAGAATAATAGTAAATGGCACTGCCACTAATTAACAATACCGCGACAGTGGTTATGGAAAGAGAGCAATATTTTAAGCGTTTTAACGCGATACCATGAGCATTAACAGCATAGTACTATTTCATGTTTCTACAGAGTTAAGGCTCCAGAAAAAACAATTCAATAAAAATCGATTTGTTGTTAAAATTTTCTTATTTCGATTCATTACAGTATATGATAATTTAAAATAAAAACAAAATTATACATAAAGATTATAATAATCTTTCAATTTTTTGTTTTTATAATAGTTTATCATTTACTATTTAAATGATCTAAATCTTTTACATTATTAGTATAATCTTTAAAAAAATTATGAGATAAATATTATCAAAACTATTTTCAATATATCGTAACGATAAGATTTTTTTCAAAAATATGACGTAATAAATTCTATGAATAAATTTTATTTAAAACTTGAATTATAAATATTTCCTTCTTTTTTCTTTGAACAGAAAAAACTAATCGATGAGCCTTAACTCTTGTAAATTCCATCCACTTTAAAACTGACAGGTAATCATAAAAATTGTACAAATAATTCACATTTCATTCGTAGATTATGAATTTACTTACGATAATACGTTTTGCTTGTCATCCTTCAATACATGAAGTAATTCGATATCGAACTTTTGATTGATTTTACGATTGAATTCGATATATATTTCCATCGAACGAGTATCGATTATTAATAAATCTTAGAAACGAAATCGATTCTGTCATTATCGAATATAAGAAAATTTTAAGAAATTCATTAAACTATATTAATTAAGCATTCTTTTACTCAATAGATATTATTTTCGATATTGCATTAAATTATTCTATTTTTCGTGATACTATTTAAAATAATAATTGTTCCATATTACATGGAATATTATTTCATTCGATCGTGGATTTGACAAAATTTTTATGACTTCGATGGATTGTTCGATGTTACACATTCTTCATATTATAATCTCGAAAAAATAAAAATTGTATAAAAAATGCTATTTTTTATGCTTCAGACTTATCATTTCGTTTCATCGATCGAACGATCTCTCGAATCATTTCAAATCCATGAAGAATTTCAAATTATCATAAAATAATGAAATTGGGTGACAAGATATGAATGTATATTTCATTTCCTGTCCTATATGTATATATATGGATATGAGCTACAATTGTATGATGATTTAGGTGATAAAATTGATCCATAAGTGAAGTAGTGTTTGCTCTAGGCCCACTTCTGCGTGTATGCATATTACGATATCGATTAATAGCGATTATCCATAGGCGTAAACAACTTTACTAGCCTACTTAGTATTTAGAGAACGATTCTAGCGATTAACAATCCCATTTTTTCACACAGAACGCAAGACGTTGATCAGTGACTGGAATTATCCTCTTCTGAGGATAAATTGTAAAGGAAAACAGAAAAAAGATCCCAAATTCAAACGTAGAACTGCTAGATTCCCTTTGCTCCCCAAGTGTGACGTTTTTCCAAACGGAACTTAGGTTAGAATAAGCCAAATCTAGAAACTATGAACGGTTTGTGAAAATATTTCAAATTGCTGTCTCAAATGATCATAGGATAATTATAATTACTATACTCGAACATTTTCGAGTTAGTGTAATTCTGTAATTTCTTTTAATACATTTATTCAATTGTTCAATTTTTTTTTTTTTTTGATTAAATCGATCGTTCAATATTCAGTCGATGCGACAATTTTATGCTTAAAAAAATATCATATTAAAAAAAAAAACGCTTTTCTATCTAAAATTGCAAAGAATTTAATAGTTCATTTCCTTTGACATTTTATATATGTTCAGTGAATGTTCTATAATTCACAAAATTCTAATGTAATTAATCAAAAATGGATAAATCAAAATCTATTAACTGAAAATATTACAAATCAGAGATATTAAAGATTCAATTATTTTCAATTTGTCGCAAACAAATTTTGACTGGTATTGATCGAGAAGTTATAATTAATCGATTTTTCATTCTATTCTATTATCAATAAATAAATTATCATGATACTTATTAAAATATTTCAAATACCTTTAGAACATTTTCTGAACATCGTTATATTTTTCAGTTTTAAATGAAAAAAAAAAAAAAAATACAGAAGAAAAAATATATCGGAAGGCGATAAAGTATCTATTTTTGCACTTAACTGAAAAATGATAAAGAAAATTATGAAGAAAAAAAATAATAGACGAAGAAAAAGATAAAAAAAATTTCCTTTTTAATTCCAAATATTTGGTCATTTGATAGAATTAAAGATTCTCTGTGACTCGATCTTCTATTAACAAAAGGTACATATATTTATACATAGATTAAAAAAAGGAATAAAAAGAGCAAATGGAGATATGAGAGTGGAGAATGATGATAGAAAAATCCAATGTTCGTAAATAATCGCAGATCGTTCTTTCTTGTGCGCGAACAATTAATAGAACTTTTTTTATTCGAATGATATGAATAATTACTTGATAATTAATAATCGAATAATCATTATAGATCAATGCTATTAGCATCGATCTTCAATTGAGATCGCGGCAGGACTGTAAAATTTTTGTCTAGCTGTTATTGCAATTCAAATTGCACTAAAGCTTTGTAGAAACACAAAGTCCGATGCATGACATCTTAATTACGATAAATGGAACTGTGTGAAATTGATTTTGTGGAAATACTAATCTCAACGTTCTGATTTAAAAAAAAACATAAATCGACAGTTATAAGATTGTATATATATGTTTACGGCCATATTACACTAATAATAAGTATCACGAGTTCTTAAAACGTGTGCAAATTAAAATTATTTGAAGGTTAAGTAACCTCAAAAATAAGATCATCAGGAATATTCCTTTGAAATGATATATCTCGAATGATGTGAAAAATAGACCTTAAGAAAAAATAATCTAATGAAGTAAAAAATTTTGTTAAATTGTTTTTTATCTCTATCAGATAATATAAGAAAGAAAAACGTTGATTCAATGAACTTTGAGTTCATAATATTGTAAATTGAGGAATGATAAAGTTTCTGAAATTTTCAATAACGTTTAGATTCTCGAATATGTAGCAGGTTATGCAATTCTGTGTTCAATTAAAGTATTCAAAGTTAAGATATCTTAACAGTTTCTTGTGAATGCAATTTTTGGAGGTGTATAAATATTCAGAGAAATAGAAAAATATTGAATAATTCTCCATAAAACGTACATTCGACATAATGTTGAATAATCGTATGTATTTGCTTTCAAGATGAAAAGAATGAGTTCTTTAAGTTTATGAAATTGCGTTACGATAAATGATATTCGATCATTCCATTGAATGTATTGCAAATGAAATTTTGCTCTTTGCTGTTAATAAGATAATAATTATGTAGTATTCATTCTA